AGGGGGATCCCGGTGCAGCCCTCAGCGGGATCCCGGTGCAGCCCTCAGCGGGATCCCGGTGCAGCCTCAGGGGGATCCCGGTGCAGCCCTGAGGGGGATCCCGGTGCAGCCTCAGGGGGATCCCGGTGTATCCCTGAGGGGGATCCCGGTGCAGCCTCAGGGGGATCCCGGTGTATCCCTGAGGGGGATCCCGGTGCAGCCCTCAGCGGGATCCCGGTGCAGCCCTCAGCGGGATCCTGGCCCGCCGCCCCTCGCCAAAGCAGATCCCGGTTTAAGGCAGAGAATCCTGCCAGGCCTCGGCTGTTGGTGCAGAATGTGTTTTCTGACTGAGTCGCAGGGTACCGAGCTGGAAGGGACCCGCAGGATCATCCAGACAGCCCCCAGCCCTGCACACACACCCCAGCAGTCCCTCCCTGTTCTCAGAGCGCTGTCTAAATGCTCCTGGAGCTCACGCTATTCAGAACGGCTCACATTTAGGCACTTGGATGGTTTCTGCTTCTGTGCTCATTCCTCTGCTTTATTCCTGAATGTATTTTACTCATTTGTTACTGGAATTTCCTTCATAAACTCTCGGCTGAGGAGCATCCCTGGATACCTCAGAGCCAGATCCAGCACATCCCTGCCTGTGTTTGTTTGGTGTAAGAGTTACAGAATTAAACCTGTGTTACCCTGCAGGATCCATGGATAATATGTTACTGTAGAAGGGGTCTTGCTGAAACACAGAAAAATGGTTGAGCCTTAATTCCCAAGTGTTAAATCTTTTCTTTCCTCTTTTTAGGAGGATAAATTAAGAAATGGCAGAAGCAGTTTTCCACCCCCCAAGAAGGAAAAGGAGAGTTTTTGAGTCGTACAAGGCTCCCTTTCCTGTGGACGTAGGGGGGAAGGATTTCAGACTATGCCAGGCTGAGATCATTAACAACAATGTGATTGTGAGGAACCCCGAGGATATTGAACAGCTCTACAACAAGGTGCTGCACCCTGTTTGCACAATATTTCTAGTGTTTTAAATGCAGGTAAAACATAACACTGCTTCAAATCTGCTGCCTTTACGCTTTCCTGCCCCTTCAGCCTCCAATGATTCTCCGTATTTCCCGTCTCTCCTGAAATCAGTACAGAAGAATATATTCTGTATCAAATTTGAAAAGTATTTCTTGTGCAAGCAAATAATAGAATGAAGTGACATTGTGAGCTAAGAAACAGCTGCAAAGCCTTCATGTTTATGTCTCCTTTCAACATTTCATGCAACTTTTCAAAGCATTTTCTTGTTTTTAAAGCTCAGGGGGTTGAAATATTAATGTTTGTAAATGCTTGTATAATTCTTTTCATTTCAGAGTGATTTATTCCCGTGGAAAACAAGCTGTGTTAAGTTTTTTTGTGTCTGAGTACAATTTCAGCAGCATTCTAATGCAGAGTTGGTTTCAGGTGTTGTTTTGTTGGCTGACAATTATTTAGAACTCAGGAAGAAGACCCAGCACTCTCCAGGCTAAATGGGATTTAAACACTTGGTTAAATCAGGTATTTAATGCTGAACCAGCCACCAGCAGCTAAACAAGGTAGAGCTGAAATGCTGGAGGAGTTCAGCTGTTTGTTCCAGCTGATCTCACCACAATCAGTTATAAAATTATTCCACATTTTATAACTGGGAAAAGAAGTTAATTTTTATGCCATGAGATAATTCTGGGTTTCTCCTGTCCTTTGCAGGGCTACTTTGGAAAAGGGATCCTTTCCAGGAGCCGCCCAGTGTTCAGCATTTCAGATCCTCTGCTGATGGCCAAGTGGAGAGGTAAATGGAGGCTGTTTGTACCTCAGAACTGCTCTGGTAGCTCTTCTCACCTTTCCTCACTTGAAGGGATATTTTTAGAAATTATGTGCAGAAGAATAATCTGCTGGGTTGGATCAGGTGAAGGATATCTCTCCTCATCTCATGCCTAGGAAAAATCCAAGAACATGAAATCCATGTGGATAATTTCTTAGTGCATTCTCCCAAACCTTCACTGAGTTGTTGCTTGGGAAGACTGAAGTAAAAAGGTCATCCTGGGACTTTTCTCTCCCTAGTTTTCCTGGGGTTTAATATGCAGATTTTGGTATCCCTGAAATCATGAGGGAAGGATTGGTGAGGTCTTAGTCTGCTTGTATCCAGTCACACCCAGTCTGCTCTTGGCTGTTTATACAAAAACTCATTCTTTACTCACCTCTCCCGTGACAGTGAAGTCCCAGTGGCCATCACTGGATTTTATCCTGTCCCTCCATGATCATCTAGAGACAAATGTGTTACAGACTGTTATATTTGTACCTTTCTGGTTCTGCTGTGTCCCTGCTTGAAAAGTGAGACCAAAATGGCTTTGAGGACTGAAACAGGTGTTAACACAAACATGCCCATAATTACATCTCAAAAGTAAGTTAATTTGCCTTTTTCTCCGTGTTTTTAGGAAACAGATTGTTCTGGTTTATATTTCTGTTCTGTTATTTCAGATTGTTGTATAAATAATGAGATTTCATTTATGAATCACGTTAGAAGAAGTAGAAATAGGGTGGGGGATGCTGCTCAGGGTGGTTTTTCATGTAAGTGGTAGGTGTTGATTGAATAGAGGCCAAGGCTGAATGCATCCATAGAATAAGTAATTAATTAATTACAATTACAAGCATAATAAAAGTTCTTCAGGTGAGGAGCAGGAGAAAGGTTTCTGGTGCAGGCTATTTTAAATATCTCTTCCCTTTCCATATGGGATTTTTATGGTGTAGCTGAAGCAGCTCTTGAACTTTTACAAAACATGACATTTTGCTTTTTTTTGAGTATCAGTTAACACTGGTAGTTTGTACACCTAGCAGAACAGTGTGTTGGACCACATATTTATTTTTTTTTCTGCTTAAGTAGTGTATAAACTATTAATCATGTGCAGGTGACTTACTCAGTTGGTTTTAACCTTAGAATAACTGAAAAAATTCACTTAAATTTGAAAATGATGCTCCTGCAGCCTTCAAATTTAGGTATGAGAAATAGTAACCATATTATTACTAATGCTACCACAGTTACTACTGTTTGGAGATGCTGAGCATCAATAAAAGTGTGGTTTTATTGGTGCAGAAAATGCTCTGCCTCAGTAGAGACCTGCAAGTGAAAATTAAATGATAATTAAATAACAGAACAAAGGAGCATCTTTTATATAACAAAGAGCAGCTTTATCAGGAACCTGCAGGGAGACTTGTATTTGTGTTGACACATGGAATTTGCATTTAATTGTTACCTGGGCTGAAATTGCTGCCTGAGGATTTTGTTTAGGGAAATAAAAAGTGCTGTACAATATTTGCACTTTCATGGAGTGAAGAGTCATGTTTCAACTGGATGTTATTTTCCAAGAGAAGAAACTGAGAAGGCATTAAAAACGTAATTGAAGAATACTAGAAATAGTAGCTGAAAGTTGTAAATAGCTCAGTGATGGGATTATTGTCATATTTCAGGGATATAACTGAGGGGTTTGGTTCAAAAAGTTGATTTCTTCTGGAGATTTTTCCACTGGTGTTTTTGCTGTGCCATTGCTGTTTTCAAGGCAGTTAAAGCAGAGTTTTGCAGCTCCTGCTCTCAGTCCTTGGCTGTGTAAAAGCTGAAGTGTAAGGGCTCTTGTTCCATGTTTAAATCCTGCAATTCCTGCGTGGTTTTGTGGGGAATTCAAGCTAAAGGCTTCCATGGGAGGAGGAACTTTCTGCCTGGTGAAGTTCCTGCTCCTTGAACCTGCAGCTTGTGCAGGGCTCAGCAATGCTGTTTGCTGCCAGAGAAATGTACAAGGCCAAAAGCAGAGGAGGCAGCAGAATCCTGTTTTTCCTGAAGCTCCCAAAAAAATGGGAGCCCCATTGTGTGGATCACATTTGTGCCCAGCAGCTGCTGGGGGCGTGTTTGTGCACTGTGCTGAACCTTCTGGGGTTTGAAAGTGTTAATTAAAGGAGGGAATTCTTCATTTCTTGTGTTCCCCAGGTACCAGCGCCGTGTGCAGTGGGCTAAAAGTGTCCTGCAGGAGCAGGGCCTTGACGACAGCTCCGTCACCAAAATCCTGGAGAATTACACCAAGCCCTTCTCCAGAGGGGATGGGCCTGAACCAGCTTGGGACAGCTGCACCAGAGGGGGCCCAAACCCAGGAAATGCAGAACTGGGCAGGAAACCTGCTGGAGCCCGAAGTCCTGAGGGTCAGAATGGAGGCTCCGAGGAGAGAGGAGATGCAGCTGTGGATCCTGGGAGTGGCTCCAGGGACCAGGAACTGGGGGATTCCAGGGAAATGGCTGGAGAGTCCTGCCACAGGGACCCTTCTGTGCTCCGTGGCTGCGAGGTGAAGCAGAGCCCTGAACAGAGGGCTTGGGAGGGGATGGACTCAAGGGAATGTGCTCCAGAATATGTGCTGGTGCAAGAGGAGGAAGAAGGAAGCTCCTGTCCTGAAGATGACTCCACTCACGCACAAGAGAACGTAAGAAAAAATATCCTAATCTTTAGAAAAAGCTACTTTCAGAACTCAGTATTTTTTCTAGTTCAAACATTTTAATATTAGTCAATTTTTCTTGTAGCTTGTCAAGAAGGAAGTATTAGTATGCAGAAAAAACCCATTTAGGATTTTTGAGTACTTACAACTCAGCTTGGAAGAGGTATGTGTCAAGCACAGTGCAAGTTATTTTGCTTTTCATCTGAAAAAATAAACCTTAATCTATGCTAATTACTGTCATTTAAAATATGTTTCTAAAATACAGGGTCCCTCTCTGTCTCCTAAGTACCTGGATTGTCTTAGTCATTAAACTTAGCTTTAATAAACTGTGATAATTAAATGAGATGGTTAAAAAATAGGGTCCAATCCTATTTGCTTTAGGTGACACAGAGCTTTTCTGACACAGAGACCAGTGACCGGACTTAAATATAGAAATAGCAGGAAAACAACATTTATATGAATCCTGTTTCAGTTCTGCTGCTTCTGAAAATATTTGTGTTAGTTTTAACACCATGCCTTCAGCAGAGATGACATTGGTAGAAAATTAATTATTGAAGCCTTTGTACTTGCAAGGCTTTGTGTGTGAACTACAGAAGGAATGTAGCTATCAGTTAAACTGACTCTGCTTGTTTTTTCAGGCTTTTTTCTTGGTGTATGCTCTGGGATGTTTAAGTATTTATTATGGTGAGGTAAGAGACGGGGTGAGTTTTGGGGATGCTTTTTCTCTGGATATGGTTTGGTCTGAATCTTTACCTGTGTGGCAGTGATTTGTGCTGTTAGCTCTGGAGGAGGAAATACCAAACAGAGGAATTGGGATGATTTTCTTACAAGTAACGGTATTTCTGTTTAGGAAATACAGGTCTGAAAGCTTTAAATTTACCAAGACAAATAAAATTAAGCACTGTCTGTCTGCAGAAAAAGGATTTTTGTTGTAACTTAGGCAGGAAATACAGGAGAAATAATATGGTGAATAACTACACCTGAGATGGCAAAATTCTTTGGAGTTTTAAACATTAATTTTTTCAATCCATTATTCATGTAATGCCATAATAATTCAGATCTGTGCTTTTAGTTTAAGATTTATCTACCTTTCCTTTAACAGGGATGTTATGGGACTGATTGTGAGCTGCATAAAAGACCCACTAAGTGGAGCACCTGGTTGGTGTTCTGAATTTAGGGATTCTGTGTTTCACTGTGTGCAGTTCATGCCCTGCAGCAGCCTGTGTGTGTGACATTTGATGCTTGGCTGTGATGCTGTGCAGCAGAGCATGGCTGGTTTGTGTCGGTGCAGTGACTTTGCTGTGTGGTGTTTGCAGGAGCCCCTGAGCATCATGAAGCTGTGGGAAGTGTTCAGTGAGGTGAAGCCTGATTTCAAAACCACCTACATGGCCTACCACTATTTCAGGGGCAAGGGCTGGGTGCCCAAGGTGGGGCTGAAGTACGGCACGGATCTCTGTGAGTACCTCCCAAAAAATGGGATCATTTTCTCCTCAGCCCTCCTCCAGGCAAGGCAGAACTCCAGGCCCAGAGAGGAACTCAGAGGACTGGAGCAGCCTTTGCTGCTTGCAGTTGGCAAAGGACATCTGGGTTTAGCAGTGAAGTTGGGATGTGAGTGGAAAGGAACATCCCATATCCAGTAGGTGAAGAGTCAGCTTGGAAGGTCTGTTTTGCTTCATGGGGTTCAAAATTCCTCCAGGATTGCACTGAAATTCCCTTCCCAACTTTCTCCCTCCCCTTCTAAACACATCTCCTGCAGTGTTAATATGACAGTTAATATGACAGTCTCTAGAATAACATGTTTGATCCCAGTTCTCATTAAAGTTTATGCACTTTATTCATCCCATTTAAGAGAATCTAGACTTCTGCTGAACTTACTGCCGAGACTGTTTCTGTGGCGGGGGCGTTTCTGAGGAAGAGAATGGACTTTTTTTACTATTGATTGGGGGTTTAATATTACAGAAATAATTAGTGGCATCCTTGCTAAGGAATTCAAGAACTCCATTTAGCTCATGTCAGCATAAGCAGTGCAGTAAAGCCTGTTACTGCAGGAGAGTGTGCATTAAAGGGAGGTATTCTGGGATGTGTGCAACCCAGCAGGTGCTGTAATGCTGCTGAAGTTTGGGGGTTGTGCTCAGCAAGGCCTTTAGGTCAGTGTGTAGCTCTGGCTGAATTCATCATCCCTGCCAAAAAATTCCATCCTAAACTCCTTCCTCTAGCAATTGCTAATTCCTCTGGTTCTTCTGCCTTACCTCTGACCTGCCCTGAGTCACTCTGCTGCTCTTCCTTCTCTCCACTTGCTGGGACAACCTAATTCAGAGCAGAATTCAGAAGAGTTGAAGTTTTGTCTTGTGTAATTAAAATTTGCAATTAGACAATATTGATGGGCACTGGTATATTAAACTCATTGAAACTCTGATGTAACTGAGGTGTTTCTCTTATATTTCAGTGCTGTATCGAAAAGGGCCCCCCTTCTACCATGCCAGGTTTGACACTCCTGTTTCTGGCTCATTCCTTTGCTTCTAATTAAATTTCACTCACACCAATTTAGCATCTTCACTGGTTCAGCACATACTCATCACTCAAAATACATTGCCAGCTGTGTTCACACCAGAAACGTGAAAATCCTTTTAGCAGAGGTGCTAAATGACACCATTTCTTTGGTTTTAAGTAACAGGCATTAAAAATTACAAGTTGCAGTGGATTTATTACTCATACGACGGTGTGTTCAGGAAAATAATTGAATTTTGTAATACCAACTTTAAAAAATACATGGTCTGGGTTATTTATGTAATTTAAGAGAATTTTAAGGGATGGTAATTATCTTTGTTTGTTGGCTAGTCAGGTTGAATTCCTAGATAATAAATTGGTTATAAATGTCAGCTTAGCATCAACAAAGAGAATGCTACAAACATCCAGAAGGGTGGGAAGGGAAGGCACCATTGGGCACATCCACAACTTCAGTATTTCTCTTCATTTCCTTATACAAAAAGACTCAGTTTCACAGCTTGCAACCTGGCAGATTGTTTAATGCCAGTTTTTAGCCTCTAGTTCTTGAGTTGTCTTCAGAAAATGGCAGTTTCCTTTCTGTGACTTGTCCTGCCTGCTGTGTTTTCCAGTTACTCTGTCATTGCTGAGCTGGTGGATGATAATTTTGAAGGTTCCCTTCGCAGACCCCTCAGCTGGATGTCCCTGTCTGGGCTGAACAGAACAACTGCAAACGCTTCCAAGGTACAGGTGTTGGGATGAAAACAGCTTTGGGATGATAAAGTTTGCTCCAAAGGGCAGGGACTTGGAGTGAGGCTGGGAAAAGAATCCTGCTGAACAATATGTTGGTCAGCCAGCAGGGAGAGAAGTTTCCTTTGCCAATATCCAGGTGAATCCTGGAAGAATTAATATTAAATAATAATAATTAAAGTTCTGCCACCCGTAGGAATGTTAAAAGTTGTGTGAGGAATGGCAAAAAGGCCAAGGGATGCTTATCTCCTGACTGCCACTTCTGCTTTTAAAGCCATTTCCATCTCCCAGGATTTTCTTTTGAGCAATGAGAGTGAAATTTCCGAGATTTTCTGTGTGAGCTTCACGGTGCTTCCATAACACACTGAAATTCCTGTGTTTCCTGGCTGCCCACAGGAGCTCATGCTGTGCTATTTGATCAGGCCTTCTGACATGACTGCAGAGGAGATGGCAACCCCAGAGTGCATGAAGAGAATCAAGGTCCAGGTGAGAGGTTCCTGCTGTTCTGCAGCTCCTGGGGAGAACTGTGCCTGGCTCTTCGCCTTGATTTGGCTGCAATACAATTAAATTCCTTCATGCATTGCATAAAGTGCATTGCAGGATCCCTACAAACATTGAATCTCCTCATCTGAATGCAAAATGTTGCCAGTAGTGTGCATGTAAGCATTTGAGTGGGGAAATAAGGATTTCTAAAAAAACCTGTGGAGGTGGCAGGGCTAAACTAATTTCAGAAATCAAAGGAGAAAAGTGTGTGTGAGTTCAGCTCACTTCAGGAACAAACAGTCATCTGCTAAAATATCTCAGTGGTCACATAATACTTATCAATTTTACACACCTAGTCCCCATGCCTCACTGATTTTCTGTAGCTTTGGGGTTTTTTCCATAATTGCTGGGTTTTATTTCAGGAGCTGATTGTGACTCGTTGGGTTTCCTCCCGTGAGCGCAGTGAGCAGGAAGAATTGTAACTGCCTGCACAAGAAAATCTCACTTTTTAAAAGCCACTTCTTGTTGTTTTTTACCTGATCTCGTGATGAACTGTTCCCTCGGAACATTTTCTGCCAACATGTTCACTTGGCGTGTATAAATGCTGTATAAAATGAGGTGTAACATGTTTACTGGAGAGAATGTTTTACTGTAAAATGTAAGTGAACTGATGAAAGGAAAAAAATTAAATGTGTCCCAACTCAAAATATAAAATAAAATATACAAAGGTGCGTATTTGAGTAGTGGCTACACTGCAGTTACTAGGAACAGTATTTCTGGTATTATGGCAGCACAACCCTTGACTTCAGTCTTTGTGAACTGAGATTTGGATTTGGGGAGAGGTTTGGTTGTTGCAGTTGGGACCCTGGAACTTGTTTTTACAATCACAGCTCAGAGTTGGGGAACTCTTCCCAGAATTTAAATTTATTCTGGAGCCTGGGCACCTTTCCCCATCTGGGTGAGATGTGTTTCTTCCCTTGGGATTTGCAGCTTCACATTCAGGTACCTGAATTCCACCTTGGCTTCTTTCCTTTACCAGGCAGTTCAGAACAGAAAAAATCTGATGGGCAAAGAGGCCGGAGTTATTTGCTGGTATATTTATTAGTAATTAAAGGAAAGGAAATTCACAGTCAGACAGGAATTTGGGATCTCAGCAGCACACAAGCACATGTTCCCTTTTTTTCACACATCAGTAAACAAAGGTGACAGGAAAAAGCCGCTTTGGTTTGCTACAGCTGAAGTTCCCGGTTCATTTGTAAAGCCCTGAATTCCACAGCCGTTCTGATTTCTGGTGTGAGGTCTTTGCAGAATAGAGCACATAAGGAATGTTAAATCAGAAAACATTTTTCCACAGGAATTCTGTTGTGTGTACGTTGTGTTACTTCACTGAAATGCACAAGCTCATTATCCTGACCCCTCCCTGAGGGGCAGGGCGAAGGTAATGCTGATTTAACGCCTTTAAACCCTGACCCTGAGCTGTGCAGCCTGCCTTTCCCACTGCTACTCCAGCAGGCTCTGGTTTCCAGCCACACAGTCCTGCTCCTGCTCAGCCAAGGGCACGATGTAGAAGTCCCTGTGAGCCAGCTGCTGGTGCAGGGTGAGGTACCTGGAGGCCTCCCTGGTGTGGGGGAGCACGAAGCTCTCGGTGAACTGGGCTTTGCTCAGGGGCTCCCGGCCCCGGCCCTGCCGCACACGGTTGACGAAGGCCAGGGCGAAGGTGAAACAGTTGTGCTGCTGCTCCTCGTACCTGGGGAAATGTTTTATATAGGTGCAAAACTTGTAAAAGAAAGGCTTCAGAAAATCGTGGCTTAGGCCTGCTGCTTCAGCTGAGTGCAGCTAGCTGGACTGTTAAGTTCCCATGGAAAAAAAAATTAAGAAAATGAAAATCAGTTTAAATAACAATCTGACTGTTCACACCAATAAAAATAAAGCCTGTCTCATGAGAACCCCCAAAGAAAGTATGTAAACACCCATGAAAAGAGAGAGTCTTAGCATGTACACACACAAACACCTTCTAACCAATGAATTAAACAGCAAGAAAGTTACTGACCAATTAAACACCATGACTTCCAAAACTGTATAAAAATATGAGCTATGCAGTAAAGATTCAGCTCATGAAAAACCAAGAATCCTGTCAGTTTCTACTGCAGCAGGGAAACACCTTCTCAGCAGGACTCATCACTACTCCTGGGGGAGTGTTCCCTCAAGGAACGCTCTCCAGGAACTTCTCCATCCCAGCAGTTCAGTGTATTTACCACAAGTGGGACTTTCCCAGCCTGAACTCTGAGCATAAAAATGAGAGGGCTGCAAGAGCTGACAAAAATGAATTCTTATTTTTTTTATACTTACTTGGCTTTTCCCTTGTTAACCTTTGCTCCTCCAGCTATTGCTAGCAGCTCTTTCCTGCAGCCCCAGAGTTAACTGTGTGCCACCACCATTTAAAATCCTTCTATCAGAGCTGTTCCCTACTACCCTTCAGTAAGTGAAAAGCTATCAAGAAAACCAGAATTAGGTTTGGCCTGAACCCAAAGGAGCTACAGGATTAGCTTGGTGCAGTTCCTGTCCATTGACAAAATAAGCAGAGGGTTTAATTGAAGAGTTGTTTTCAGTTCAGTGGTCACTGGTGTTGTTGTGGAGAAAGGTCACTGTGTCAGGAGGGGGCAGATGGAAACCAGGGAAAAGCCTGGAGAAGGGATGCACACATCTCTGACTTTGTGCCAGTGATTTTTTCATGTCAAGGCAATTTTAGTATTACTGGGAACTGTAAAAGTGACACAAATTCTGTTGGCTTTACCATCTCTGTAAACTTCTAAAAATTCTGTTCTAAATCAAATTTTCCATCTCTTTTAGGGAGGTAATGTTTGATCCCTGAAATTTTATACTCAGCACATAGAGAATTGCTAAGAAATGCTTTTAATTCAATGTTTTTTTCTTTCTTCTCTATTATGGTTACACTCACTCAGTGACACCCAGGCAGGCTCTGTGTCACAGCTGCTCTCACTGAGGGACAATCCCAGGACCGGTGTTTCCCTGGAGAGCTGCTCTGTCACCACAGGGGCTGGAAATCAGCCTGGTTCCCACTTCTCACCACTGACATCAAAAAACAACAACTGGCCAAGAATCCCATCACTGTGCTCAGCCTTTCTATGCAAACACACCTCAAACTGCTGAAACCTCAAAAAATAATTATGGAATTGTGCCTGCACTTTTGTACTCAGCTGCATGCACGTCATGTTTCATCAAACTGGGGCTTTTAATGTAAAATCCCCTAAAAGCACCTCTCGATTTAGAGCTTTTGTGTTCCAGCAGCTGAGTTTTGCTTAAAATTCAGAACATTCTGGCCAGCCAGGCCAGGCTGAGGGTGATCCAGGCCGGGCTGCCAGCAATGTGTGTCCTGAAGGACACCAGGCTCTGAAACCCCCAAAGCTCATCCCAAACACACCCCAGCTGTTCCCTACACACCTGTCAGGGAGCCAGGCCTCTTCCAAGGAGAACTCCTCCAGGAGGTTGTCCCACTGCTGCAGGAGCTCCCACATGTCCGGCTGCACCAGGGCGACGCTGATGCACTGCTCCCAGCCCCTGCCATCCCTGTGCACACCCTCCTGGTCATAGTTGTACACCACACCTGCGAACACAGCAGTGGGGTGCTGGGGAACACACACACACACAGCCCTCTTTGGGGTTTGTGCTGACTCAACTTCCCATCAGCCAAGCAGGAAATGCAGTCCTAGCGTCTAGCAAACATCTGGTCTCATTTCCACAGCGTGGTTTGGAAAAAGGTTTGGCTCTTTTAATAACCATCACATCAGGCTTCGTTTTTAACCCCCAGAGGAGACTGGCTTTGTATTAAATACACAACTGAAATGATGTTTTGAAGGGTGGGCCCACCCTAGGTAGAACCCAATAGGATTTTTAATGTGGCTTTTAAAACTGTTTTCTTAATTAGGGGGTGTTTTTAGAATTACCAAAACCTATGTTACTCTCAATTAAACTGTAATTCCTTTAAAGCAAGCCTAGCCCTTCATTCCAGGGGTGGAAGGCACCTGTTTATTCCATTCAATGCCTGTTTAATCTGGTCAGGAGAAGGGATTTGCTCTGGAGCTCTGCTGCAAGGTGAGCTCATTCCCAGAGAGCCCACCCCAGGATATTCGCAGGGCAGCAGGGTGGCAGGTGGGGCGGCTGAGGGGGTTCCTGCGGGCTGCAGAGCGGCCACGGCTCGGCAGGGACCCGCGGCTTACCCTGGCAATTGCTGATCCCGACGTGGAGGTCACTGTGCCCGTCGTAGTCGCTGGAAGAGGAGCAGAGGGGCTGAGGAGTGTCCGTGCACAGCCCAGAGCTCCCAGAGCGGCTGTGAGCCCTGTCCCGTCCTTTCCCCTCTGCCTTGTCTTCCCATTTCACCTCCCTTCCCTTTCCTTTTCTCCTTCCCCTGTCCTTCCCTCTCTCTTGTCTTACCATTTCATTTCCTCCCACCTTCGTCTTCCATTTCCATTCCTTTACCTGCCCTCTCCTTCCCCATGTCCCTCCCCTTTCCCCTCCCATTCCCCCTGTCCCTCCCTTTCCCCTTCCCATTCCCCATGTCCCTCCCTTTCCCCTCCCATTCCCCATG